CATCTGGTGATGTCCATGTGTAGAGTCTTCTCTTGTGTTGTTGGAAGAGGGTGTTTGCTATGATCAGTGCATTCTCTTGGCAAAACTCTATTAGCCTTTGCCCTGCTTCATTCTGTACTCCAAGGCCAAATTTGTCTGTTACTCCAGGTGTTTTTTGACTTCCTACTTTTGCATTCCAGTGCCCTATAATGAAAAGGACATCTTTTTTGGGTGTTAGTTCTAAAAGGTCTTTTAGGTCTTCATAGAACTGTTCAACCTCAGCTTCTTCAGCTGGGTTGGGGCATAGACTTGGATTACTGTGATTTTGAATGGTTTGCCTTGGAAACAAACAGAGATCATTCTGTCATTTTTGAGATTGTATCCAAGTACTGCATTTCAGACTCTTCTGTTGACCATGATGGCTAATCCATTTCTTCTAAGGGATTCCTGCCCACAGTAATAGATATAATGGTAATTTAAGTTAAATTCACCCATTCCAGTTCATCTTGGTTCGCTGATTCCTAGAATGTCAACATTCACTCTTGCCATCTCCTGTTTGACCACTTCCAATTTGCCTAGATTCATGGACCTAACATTCCAGGTTCCTATACAATATTGCTCTTTAAAGCATCAGACCTTGCTTCTATCACCAGTCACAGCCATACCTGGGTGTTGTTTTTGCTTTGGTTCCATCCCTTCATTCTTTCTGGAGTTATTTCTCCCCTGATCTCCAGTAGCATATTAAACCAGAAAAATAATACCTGCACAGATCAAGCAAATCACAACAGCACATATAGCCAAGTAAGTGATGCTGTCCTTGTGCACAGAGTTTCCATTACACAAACTATTCTCCTAAGTGAGGGAATTCATCCCTTAGCAATTGCTTGTTAGAACATTGGGACCTCATGCATCACATTAAAGATCCATAAATGTCCTCTCAATGACGAAGAGAAGATGCATGATCATATCCACCCTATATCTGCATAGGCTGCTTCTGATCAACAGATTGTCATGATGCATGGCATTATGGAATCCTGCTCCAGTGCTCCAGAGACAGCTGAGAAGCCACATGGGAGCCTTCTTCAGTCATTGCTACAAGGACTAAGATACTAGGAGATCAGGAACTCAGGCTTAGGATTTGACAAAATACCCTCATCTCTAAATGAATCGATTTATTTATGTCATTGGTACAAAGTATGCATGTAATATTTCATGACTGAGTACATCTTTTACTGTTAAAAAAAAAAAGTACCCACTTTTGCTTGTGAGATGAGTAGAATTCAGAATCTAGCAATGTTGTATTCTTCCCATTTCTTTGCCAATGCAGAATTTCTTCAGAAAGGGATCTAATATAATTGTTAAGAATGTGCACTCTAGAGGCAGACAAATCTGACTATGTATCCCAGGTTCCTCAGTTTTGACCCATGGAGCCTCAGGCAAAGTTTAACCTCTGATTTTATTTTTTCTTGTGTGTAAAATGATAATTCTCCAACTACCAACCTCATAGGGTTATTGTGTAGGAACAAAATCAGATGATGTTTAGACAGAGCTCCTCACAGAATTAGGCACATAACAGGTACTCAGTAGACATTAGTTGTTTAGTTGCTAAGTCATGTCCAGTTCTTTGCGACCCCATGGACTGTAGCCCATCAGGCTCCTCTGTCCATGGGATTCTCTAGGCAAGAATCCTGGAGTGAGTTGCCATTTCCTTCTCCAAGACATTAGTTAGCCATCCATTAACAAACGTTCACTGTTATAATACCACTAGAAAAGGGCAAATGTTACTGACATCCCAAACAGAATACGACACCATGTAGTTCCCACATGTCTGTTTTTGTTTTTTTGCTTTAAATAGTCTCATCTTCCATTTTGCCCTTGATTATTTCATACAGGCACTTCGAGGAGAAATTGCACCTCTCAAAGAGAATGTAAGCCACGTCAATGACCTTGCTCGCCAACTCACCACCTTGGGCATTCAGCTGTCACCATATAATCTCAGCACTCTGGAAGACCTGAACACCAGATGGAAGCTTCTGCAGGTAGGCACATTATAAACATTGCAGTTTCTTCTCTCAATAAGACAATATACAGATAAGCCTTGTTTGTAAGGAACAGTGCAAGTAATTTCTTCGTATGATATTCATGATAGTTTGTGAGTGTATGATATTTTGTATTATTTAATAATTTCTTATTTCATTTTTTCAAGCATATTAATATTAATTTTTAAATGGCTTAAAGTTAGACTTTACTATATCTTGCCATTAACATAGAAGATAATACTGAATCATGCTTTAAGAACTAAATTACTGGCATGCCATTACTTTGTACTATCATAGCTTGGATTCTCAAAATGTCTTTCCTTTTGGACTCCTAATTTAAAGCAAAGGTTAATGGTAGCACACATTCTAAATCTTTTAAAGAAAGGATATCCTCCCACAAACTGACTCATGAAAGTTTTTCATAGTAAATAAAGGGAATGTAAGTATGCTCAAGGTCATGCTTACTGGCTATGGGACCTTTGGCAAATTAACTTTTCTGTGTCTCAGTGTTTTACCTGAAGAAAATGGGAACGTTAAATGTTTCTAAAATATTGGTCTTTTGTTAGGATGAGTAAGTCAAAATACATGGGGTGTGCTTAGTACAGTATTAGCTACATAGTAAAAAACACTGTGAATTCTAGTTCTTGGTGTTACTGCAGTTATAATTGTTATTATTATAGCATACAGGTTTTGGAATCAGACTTACTTGATGTCACTCAACCTCTTTGCTTGTCCATTTCCTCATTTCCAGCATACTTGCTGTAATATTGAAGGGACTAATTATTGTAGAGTTATTGGTACAGTACCTGGCTCATAGTAAGAACTCAGACAATGGAATCGTGAAAGAGGTGTGTCTATACTTTCCCTTCATGAAGGCTACCACTAAACCCCCACCCCTGCAACTGGTTTGATTACAGAATTAAAGAATTGTTTCTTCTCTTTTTCCAGTTTCATAAGATGCACAAATTATGCTCCTGGGGATAGAGACGAAAGAGGAAACTGGGTTTAAAAATATTTGCTTTCAGTGTTTTAGTAAGAAAAAAAATGATAAACCAGATTACTTTTCTATGTGCAGTCCATTTAGCAGTGTGATTGAAAGTCCTGTTGGAGAATTTAGATCTTTAATAAAAACAAGACCTCTCGAGATCTCATATAATTTAATTTTTTTTGTGATGAATAGTCTTGAAATATATGTATGATAGATTGTTATAAGTGGCATTGATTAAAGCCAGACAATATAGTTAAGAGATTACATGCATTTCTATGTCTATTTACTCCATAGTGGTTACATACTATTAAAATCTTATCAGTTTCATCCTTAGTATATTTTTTTCATTTTAAACATAAATAAGGAAAGTAATAAATGTCCAAGGAAAACCAATGGTCGCATTTGTTCCTTTCAAGCACTCTTGAACCATTATCTTAACATTACTTTTAGAGAGCTAAATGCCACATTTGCTCTCAGAATGTGATATAAATTTGTGAAAATGGCATGTAATTTTACAAATGAGATAAAAATATTATGACTGATAGGAAAAGAAAGTTTAAAAAAATCAGTGTGAGTGATCCATCATAGTTGTACTATTTATTTAAATATAAAATATGAGAAAATAGTACAGTTTTATTTTATCCATTCTTTAAAATGAATAAGGGACTTGGTTATAAATCTAGGGATGTACATAAAGAAGATAGGGTGTTGTAGTCAAAATACTGTAGGAGTGAATGATAGGACACCTAACTGCAAACTGAAGCTCAGCTATTATTTGACCATGTTATCTTGGGAAAGCCATTTGACCTCTCACAGCTGCTATTTCCACATTTGTAAAACAAGATAATGCATTTTGTCTTAGCTCACAGTCCGTTCAGTCCTGAATCTGTATGTGCATATCTGGGGGAGATCCACATATGTTGGAATTTAGTTTAGAGTCAGTGGATTTGCTTCCTCTTCATAATACAAATGTGACTGACTGGAATTATATTCCTCCTTCTATCAGTATAATTCTAGCTTTTAAAACCCTCATCCCCAAACACCCTTATAGTCAGCCTTCTCATAGTAAATGGTTCAGTTTGTGGTATATGCTCTTATTGTGGCACATTCCACATGTTGCTGTTTTTTAATGTGACCTTAAGAGTAGACTTAAGTTGGTGTTTTGTTTTTTTTTTTTTAGCAGAAAGGTGATAAATTCAAGGTTTTGAGTTGCACATAGCTAAGTCAACTTGATTCCCTTCTTTTCTCTGACCAGAGTTTAACCACTCTGCTATATTATAAATGTGAGTACTTGTTCAGAAAATGAACAAAGCAAGAAATGAGGTTCACATCAAACAACTTTATCCCTATTACTGGAAGAGCAGCTCATATAGCCTATCAAAAACATTGTCCACTTAGAAGAATATGTGAGAGACTAAAGGATAACCCAGCTTCTGTGGAGGGGAGTGTAAGCCCACCATTATTGTGACATCACATTAATTCATTCACTTAGTGCTATGTCAGTCAACTAAAATCATGATAAGAATAAGAGTTCATCTTTGCTTTTGGGTTTGCTAAGACAAAGAAAAAGCAAGAATAGAGAATTAGGGTAGTGGGAGGGTAGATATAAGTCTAAGAAAAAGAGTCTTACATTTGAGCAAAAAGTGCAATTGAAGAACTGGAATGACATACTCCCAGGCTATAGGTACTTGATGTCAGAATATCCTGGGTTTGCCTTTGGGGCAGGTGGGAAGGCTGTACTGTGTCTTCTTGCTGTGTGCAGGTTTTTCTAGTTGCATAAATGGGGGCTACTCTCTAGTTGTGGCGTGCAGACTTCTTATTGCGGTGGCTTCTCTTGTGGAGCACAGTCTCTGGGATGCAAAAAAGTGAAAGTCAGTCAGAGTGTCCAACTCTTTGCGACCCCATGAACTGTAGCCCGCCAGGCTTCTCTGTCCATGGAATTCTCTAGGCCAGAATACTGGGGCAGGTAGCCATTCCCTTCTCCAGGAGATCTTCCCAACCCCAGGATCAGAGCCAGGTCTCCTGCATTGCAGGCATTTTCTTTACTGTCTGAGCCAGCAGGGAAGCCCAGGGATCCAGTCATTGTGGCACACAGGCTCACTCATGGTTTAGTTGCCCTGCAGCATGTGGAATCTTCTGGGGCCGGGGATCGCACCCATATCCCTTGCAATGGCAGGCGGATTCTTATCGAGCCACCTGGGAAATTCGTCCTGGGTTTCTTACGTGGGCCATTAATTTTTACTTTAAAGAAAAGTCATGCTGGTTTTCTAGCTGTGTGTAATATCTCTCAAAATGTTAGAAACAGATAAACCATATAGATCTGCACATCAACAGCAGGGTAAGACCCAGTCACAGAATATCTGTACATAGAAATAGAATGTATAGGGGGTTCTGGATTTATATTGAATCCACAAATAGAAGTATAGCACCATTGATTTGCCCATTTGAAACTCTCTGTGGGAATAAAATCCTGTTTTCTCCCTCAGAGTGGGCACACTGGTGTGGATGTTTCTATGACACCAATGGACAATGTGTTTTTAGCAAAGGAAATCTTTTATTCCTTGTAATAGCAAAAAAGTTTTCATGTACATTGTTTCACTTAATCCTCAAAATGTAATGATTATGTATTATGATTACATAATATCATTGAGTCCTTGTACAAGTAAGGAAACTGAGACTTAGAGACGCTAAGTGACACATTGACAGTCACACAGCTTTTAAGCGGCAGTCACAATCTAAATAAGATCTGAGCTGCAACTCCCTACTCTTTTTGTTGCCTCGTCTCACAGTGGACTTAACAAAGTCATACTTTAGAGCTGTTTTGGGCAAGACAGTATTTCACTTTTTTTTTTCATGCTTCCCCTCATTTTTAAATGATCCTCAGGGATATTAACTTTGAAAGCTTCCTTTGCAAACGAATGGATTAATGAGCCCCAGTTCAGTGTACCCCTTAAAATCACACCTGTCGTTTCAAATATAAAATTATAAAGCATTATATTTCTCATTGTCTGTAGAACTCAGTAATTGTACTAAAAGCAACCAAAAGTGAATTTAATAAGTTAGCCTTTAAAGTGGAACCAGTGTTAATATCTGATCCAGGAGAAATGAGTATTGAAACCAAACAGGAAGAAAATTAAACTGACGATAAACCCTTCTAATTTTGAAGCAGTGCACATACTTTTAGTGCTGAAGTTGTGCTCTTTAGTCACCAAACACAAGTACTATAGGGAATATTCTATAAGAAAGTACTACTAGGGAACGTTCTACCCATTTCTCACCCTCATGTGCAAACCCATGAATAGCAACAGAAGTTGAAAATACACTTTAATATAAAGAGTAAATGCTTTGTTGACTGTAGGATGTATGAAATGTAATCACTTGAAAAATATTAAATATGAAGACATTTCTCTGCGTGACATTCTTTAAATATGTTTAAGGACAGCATCATGAATTATGTATGCTTTTAAAGGTTTCCTAAAAGTTTTCCAAAGTTATATGGACAGTTTTGTACTCTATCTTCACATCTTTGCAGTAACTTGATGTCATGGGGATCTAGACCCTCATCTTCTATACACTCCCTTCGTTCTTTCATTCTTTGCTTCTTCTTCCCTTCAGTTGGCACTGATTAGGCAGCTACTGTGTACCAAGCACACATTGTCATTGTCGTATCTGTTCCAAGGACATCATGACCAAAACTCTCTTCACCACTTGTGCCAACTTAAGCAAAGTTTTATAGATAAATTTTCTTTCATTACTTCCATAATGTCCCACTGTCCCTCCCTTTCTCCATCTTATAAACAAAATATATATATATATATATATATATATGCTATTGTGACACTAATACTATAAAAGTAGTACCTTTTCTGATCTCCAATTTACAAATTCTTCAATAGTTTCTGACTGTGAGTTTGATCTCCATAATCAGATTAGCAAGATTCATGGAAGGAACCATATTTACCTGGGCAACAGAAATGTTTTCATGGCTTCATTAAAAAAAAAAACTAAACAA